CACACAATCAACAGAAACAGACATGGGGAAAGGGAACACTTTTCAAAAATAAAACATGTGCAATATACAAAGCCTGAAGCCGTCAGTCCACAGTGATGAAGAAATCTTCGTCACAAGCAACATCTTACCTTCTGATTGGCACACAAAACCTGACGCCATGTCAAACACTAAAGCTTCCTGAAACACAAAAGACATGATGTATCCCCCAAATAGCAGCACCAAGCCAGCACCTCCTTAAAACATTATACAATAACTTTTTAAAACCTTTTTATCTTTAAATGTTTTGAAATTTTCAACATCGTGGATGAATCCTTATATGCTCCCGGCAACACACTGAACGTCAACTTTGCCTCCTTATTACACTCACCCCTACTTTAGTGGGAACAATGAGTCTGCGTCTTTGATGCGCACAGGCGGATGATGCGGGGATGCAATGTAGACAGGAATAAACGCAGATCATCCTCTGGCTGCAGCCTTGACCGGCACTTGCTTTTGATCAATGTCAATGCTGAAAACCCACACTCACACAGGTAGGTGGAGGCAGGGGGGACTGGGACTAAAAATCAGCCCTGGAATCTCACCCAGCCCAGCCCACACAAATTGGTAGAGCACGCTAGTGAACTGTCAACAGGGGTGGGGGGGAGCCTCGCTGCGTGGAAATGGCCCGCTGAACGGACCTCTGTCGTCTGTCAGCGCAACTTAAATGATGCCGTTTAAAAACATAAAATATAAAGGGCGCTGCCGGCCGTCAGCGAACCGAGCCGGCCGTTCTGTGATTCTCCAGAACACACAGATGGCCAGCCCGCCCCTGGGTGGAGGTTAAGTGAATGAGCACTTTTACAGCCTTTTTGGCAAGGTGGGGGAACTCGGTCTCCACAGACAGCCAAAAGTGTGCAAGTGTCACTTTACTCGTCTTTTTCTCGTTATCTTTTTCTCACGCTGCGCCTTCCCTGAAGCTCTCTGGCGCCCCCCAGGGGAGGCGCGCCTCACACTTTGAAAACCGCTGCATTAGGGTGATGTGCTGCTGTGTGTGTAACAAGAGTACAATTCGTAGGAGGAAACGTAGAAATGCAAGTTGGTGAGGACAGAAGAAGCTCCAAAGAAGCTGAAGTAAAAGAGGAACAGAGTTAGAGACATGAAGAAAAGAAAGACGGAGAGAGCTGATCCTCTCTTTGTGTGCTGTCTGTAATGCCCCTGAGCAGGTTATTTGTTAGCCCTTTACTCAGTAAACACGCTGTGAATCCTATCCCCGCAGGCTGTCAAAGGGACACACACGCACAAACACACAGAGGCATTAACACGCACAGAAATGCAGACATAGTTGTCCCCTCTTTTCCCTCAGGGTTTAGCTGAGGAAGTGCTCAGGAAGGCCACCATGCAGACTGATCTCGTTGCTCTGTTAATGGCGGTTGTGGGGGCAAATCTTCCCTTTGTTTGTGATGAAGTTTGAATCAAGCCCAGAGGGAGTGTGCCAGACGTCGAACCAAATGTTCGATGTGGCCAAACGGGGGTAATACAACTTCTGTCAGTCCGTGACGTTTTTGGGCCCCAAAATAAATGTTTTCCTTCGACTTACAGAGGGAAAATCCAAATCCAGAGTCATTTTCTCTCCCCATTCATTTGACTGAGCTAAGACAGCCATGAACCTGAGGACTGGAGGCGGGGCTTAAGCAAAACGCAAGAACGAACGATCTCTGGGCCCAGATATGGGATATTGATCTTCAGTCAGGCCATTGGCTTCATGCGTCACTGAGCAACTTTCATTTGCATTAACAGTGTCCGGCCTCCAAAGCTGTATCCAGTTCTCTTTAAACATCCATGGTTTGAATAATTCTAACAGTAATAAGCCAAAAATAAAAAGGATGAAATCACAAAGTGTGTGCCTGCATTTGTTTCTGTGTTTGTGTGTCTTGTGTATATTTGTCCACAGTCCTGCTCTAAGCCAAGTGGAACCCTCTGTGTTCGTATGTGTGCATCGATTTGTTCCTTCTGTCTTCGACTCTCGGACTGATCCATGCCTCAGCTGGGTATAGAGGGCCTTTGGTATTCTGAAGGAAATGTCACCGCCGTCACGAGTGCAACACGTATGTTGAGGCAATGTTCCCTCCTTGCTTAGAGCGAGACTTGCAAGTCCAATCTATTGATATCTGATGAAAACCTTCTGCCCACCCAGACAAGTAAATCATTACAAACACTTCCAGTGACCACAACAGCTCATTTCAAAGTGAACATTTGTCTCTCTGCCTCCGTCTCTGTTGTCCTTATGCCTTGTCTTCAGACACACTTTCGTTTCGACCCTGCTAGTCAGTTGCCATACTTTGAGAAAAGGCTGTCCTCCAGCAGGCTTTCAATAGTTTTCAGTCTTGTGTAATACTTGGCAAAACACATTGACAATGCTAACAAGGTGAACATCGTCTTTAAGGGACACTTGAGAAACTTTTCTAACAAGAGAGAAGGTATCCGGTGATCAAGTACAATGTTGTTACTAAAGAAGTAGCATTATTTCTAAAGCACTTCAGATGACAAATGAAGATTCAACATTATTAATCATAGCACCAAAATAACTTGGAAAATAACCCACATTGCCAACATTTGTTGCAGGGATAGGTCTCATTAAAACTGGGGACATACCCTACCACTTTATGCAATGGCTACTTTTGTCCCTATTTCTTATTTTAAAGAATCATTTGAAACAAATTCTAAAAAGAGAAACTTTGCACCAGATAAAGATACAAAAAAAACTAACAAATAAAAAAGCTTTAAGAATTTGATTTGCACAATGAAGAAACACATGTGCATTGAGAAAGATCCCCCTTGCAAAATATAATGCATGTTGTGAGCAACCATTTGAATCATGTCTTGACCTCAAACTGAACCCACCACCACATTGCCTAAAAGTGTATGTTAAAGACCATTTCGAACTCTTCTGACCCCCAATATCCTTCCCTCTTTTCAACACAAAGTGGTCCCTGGTCTCTTGTACCCTCAGGCAAGACCATCGTCCGTATACAACTATGTTTCAAGAAGAGACTTGGAATATGATACTGTTTATGAGAAGCTGAGAGCCTTAAGAAGGTCAGTCCAGAGCTGCAGATGCCTGGCAGCAAAGGCCTGCCTACCTTTACATGATGCAGGAATAGCTTGGAGGTGTCTCGAGGGAGACCTCAGGCTGCAAAGGCCACAAGCTCACACAACGAATATGCATAATAATAAATGAAAGATTCCACGCTTGCAATCTATTATGGGCTGATACCATAACAACAAGCTACTGCCACACATCTTCTGATGCTCAAACATGAACACATCATCGGTGTTGTTTCCTGGAGTCATTGGGTGTTTCGGGTCTTGCAACAGACACCCCTCAGCCTGTTCTCTCTGTCAACCTGACCCAGTCACGAAAGGTGTACGCTTGCAATCTATAATGGGCTGATACCACAACAAAAGCCACCAATTATTATATGCAAACAGGGCAAATGAGAGTTGTGATAAAAAGCACTGTGAGCGGGTGAAAGGAGGCGGAGCTACAGTATGTGGGTGTGGTTTTTCGCGATGCCTTTTAACCAAGTGGCAAACTCTGGGGAAGAGCCGGGACGCCAATGCAGAAGTGCCTCAAACTGCAGTTCATCTAGTGGCCAGTAGGAGCAGTCTGCAGAAGGGAGCAATTTCCATAGACCCCAATATTAAAATGCCCAACTTTAGAGCAGAATTAAACATGTTTACATCGTGGTTTCAAAACATTTTATTCTCAGTATAGTTAGATTCCCCCTTCCTGTCTATGGATCCTGGAGTGAATTTTTTCTCAACTCATCTGTTTAATTAATATTCAGTCTTAAAGTTATGCATAAATTAGGGCGTGATCACATTGAGTGAAAGCTCCGTTCAATGACTGCTGCTGCTAGCTTCTTGTCTCTCTGCTAGCTGCTCCGTGAAGCTAGCTACAGGGACTCTGCATGCTCAGTTCATCCAGGGAACACAACTTGATCCGGCCGTGGTTGTTTGTTCTTCATGCTTATATATCGGACTATTGTGACTCGCTCTGCGGTTAAAACAGACGGTGCATTNTTTGCCGAGATAATCCATCCCACCTCACAGGTGTGGCATATCAAGATGCTGATTAGACAGCATGATTATTGCACAGGTGTGCCTTAGGCTGGCCACAATAAAAGGCCACTCTGAAACGTGCAGTTTTAACCCTAACATGTCACCCATCTCCTTTGCATAGAGTTGATCAGGTTCTTGATTGTGGCCAGTGGAACGTTGGTCCACTCCTCTTCAATGGCTGTGCGAAGTTGCTGGATATTGGCAGGAACTGTCACACGCTGTCGTATACGCCGATCCAGAGCATCCCAAACATGCTCAATGGGTGACATGTTAGGGTTAGGGTTAGGGTTTAAACCTAGGGTTTTCGGACCCCCCCAGACCCCCCCAATAAAGCAAAACTGCACGTTTCAGAGTGGCCTTTTATTGTGGCCAGCCTAAGGCACACCTGTTCAATAATCATGCTGTCAAATCAGCATCTTGATATGCCACACCTGTGAGGTGGGATGGATTATCTCGGCAAAGGAGAAGTGCTCACTATCACAGATTTTTTCAGATTTGTGAACACTATTTAAGAGAAATGGTTATTTTGTGTATATAGAAAATGTTTTAGATTCTTTGAGTTCATCTCATGAAAAATGGGAGCAAAAACAAAAGTGTTGCATTTATATTTTTGTTCAGTGTAGTTACAACAGCACACCCATGCCCAGTTTACATAAATAGTCATCTGATATTTTATTTCTTAAGCGTGAAGATGATTCCTGAAACAGCTAAGCACCAATGTGCCTGTATGAATGAATGCAAATGAAGACACCCATTGCCATATGATTCCTTAAAACCTGCGTTCATCCAACACATCCTGCATGATGAAACTGTTAAGAGTGCAAGAGGGAGTTGTTGTGTACTCACCGGTAGGCCAGAGCCAGGGCCCAGGCACTGGCAGCACAGTACAGGGAGTCCCGGACCTTTGCCTCTTTGCAGGTGGAGCATGTTTTGATGGGGAAGAGGCCAGTGGTGGGACTCTGGTAGTTCAGGATGGTTGTCTTGACTAGATGGAAAGAGACGGAGAAGAAGAGAATAGTTGTGACGCAACACCTCTTGCAAAAAGAGCTATGGTATTATTACACCCAACAACATTAGTTGAAAGAACAGGGAAATCAAGTGTAATATGGAAGCTGGCTAGGTAGTAATGCTTCATTAGCATTTCACAAAATAATAAATAAATGACCATGTATGCAGCCAGTGCAGCTTTGTGTCCAAAACACAATTTGCATTCACATCATTACTCAACTTACACTGAGAATGCAGTTTTTGAGAGCATATACAAGTACCTTGATGCTCCCACACACTTTGAATGACCTTCTCTAGTCTGTTTTCACTCCTACACAGGTACTGCTCTGAAGCCACATTGCTCCCATCACACATACTGTAAGTACCAAATGCATTTTTCATCAATTTTCAGATGTTAAAGAACAGATGCTTAGAGCAAGTGTCCTTCAGCTTTGCACAGTCAGCTGGACAAGAGGCGGTCCCAGGGTCAGAGAGGACACTGTAATTGACCACCAGCATCTATCTTTTCTATTTTGTTTTTGCCCAGGCTAGAATGCATTTGTGAAGTGTGGGAATCTAACTTTTATCCAGCTCCTCAAGCTGGGTTACACTTTCCTCCTGGGCCTGTGCACTTCCTCCGGCTGTGCAGATCTTGCCCCTGCATCATCCTTTCATGCTTATTCACACTCCAAAAAACTACATTCAATTATGTTCAATTTGATTTAGAAAATGTTGGGCCAAGTTGTAAAATTAGGTTAACATTCATGTAATAAAGTGATTATGAGAAAAGCTTGGTTTGTGTAGTGGAGGCATGTACAGTTCACACTGTAAGAGTGTGATAACAGATGGATGCCTTTTCAAGATGAGAAGTGTGAGTGGTGATGTGTGAAGTGTGAATGACAGCAGCAGAATAATACCATCAAAAGTCAATGCAGGAAAATTCTCTTTTCTTGGCTCACCGAGGAAAATCTAAAAACGAAACCATGAATAGATAAGAAAATCATCACGTTTTTCTGTATTTCTTTGATCACATGAATAGCATTTGGGTTACAACATTCCTTGAATGATATCATTTTGGACTAAGAGCACAATTAATTTATTTTTTTGCTTTTCCAGAATATTAAAATAGTGCTGCATTAGCTAACAACAGCCAATGTACTGTATACACAGTATGTGAATGTTGTGCAAGGCATTCACATGATAGGCATGGAGTTGTGCAAGTTGACTTGCGTGTTATGTGCACATACTTCACCAGCTGTTTCAAACACGATCTAGACTAACATGAAGAGATAGAGACATTTCCATTTTGCCATTAGGGTTTTTAGGATTGAATTCAATGGAGTGTGATCAGGAGAGATATCTAGAAACATTCAGAGAAAACTCTCAGAAACTCTCTCTAGCAACTCTCAGCAAAGTCAGGACAGAAACATTGACCTTATTGATGAGGCGTTGTTGACCCTGTTGCTAGCTATTCTATTAAAAAGGTGTAATTGATCGGCAAAAAACAGAGACGAATGCACCCTTACAGTATGTGATTATAGGCCTAGGATGAAATTAATTGGTCTAATTGTAGAATTGTATCTTAATTAAGTTAAGATGTAGTTCTGTTTTATGTCATTCAGTTTAAGCCATAAACATATTCACATTCTGATGTTATTGTATTTATTTGCTTTCATACATTTCTACATGTTAATCTACCATAAACCATTTCCCTGAATTCAGTATTTTGTGAGAATATTCTCACAAGGAATACATGTTTGCACAAGCAAAACTTTATGAATATGGCCTCTGGCCTTTAAGGTTTTCAACAAGAGAAGGAGGATTGATGTGAACTTCTACTCTGCTGAAGGAACTGAGCAAACTGGCTCAATTCCAGCTCCAATTGTGTTCTACGATACGTCTGACCTCAACCTCTGGTCTCCCTCTGAGAGACTTCACTATACTAACACTTATTAAACAGTTAGAAAATGCAACTCTCCATGGCCTCTAGTGTTTCCACTTTTCTGCACAGCATCAGAATGAAGAAATGAACCAAGAGAATGAAGAAAATGAACCAAGAGAACTTCTTAATTTGTTTCCTCAAAAATGAACTCTGAGCCCAGCATATTGCTTACATTACATTACATTTGGCTGACGCTTTTATCCAAACCCACTTACAATAAGTGCAAAAACCATAAAGATTCAAACTCTGAACAACAAGGAATGTGTAGATATATTCACTTCAAGCAAGCCTTAACATTGTAAGGTCTGCTGAATCAGATGCAAAGCCTACATAAAAAAAAAATGCAATGATTTAATTCCCTAGGTACAATCGAAACAGATGCGTTTTCCATCTGCGACAGATGATATGTAGAGTTCCTGCAGTCCTGATCTCAATGGGGAGATACCACCATTGAGGGGCAAGGATAGCAAACTGGCGTGTTTTTGAGGGGTACCTGGGTCCCTCTTGACGCCGAGCAAAGTGCACATGCTAGAGTGTATGGTTTAACAAAGGCATGGATGTAGGAAGGGGCTGATCCCCTCCCAGCTCAGCCAGTACCAGTGTCTTGAAGCGTATTCTGGCAGCCACTGCCAGCCAGTGAAGGGAGCGAAGGAGAGGTGTAGCGTGGGAGAACTTGGGGAGGTTGAAGAGCAATCGGGCTGCAGCATTCTGAGTTAGCTGTAGAGGTCGGATGACCACCTCCCCCCCTTAACACCTGAATCTCCTCCTAGAGCACCGTTGTGTTCTTTTTAACCAAATATCTCTCAGAGGGCGTGGGGAGGGGCTCCTTATTTTCATTCTAATAAAGTAACAGACAGAGAATCAGCACTTTTGAAACAGGGCTGAAACAGAGGGGATTATGGGATGCTGCAATGCATGATCTGTTTGGTATTTCAAACAAACACTTCAGAGACATGTTTTGGATATATCTGAGACCTGTAATATATTGATGAAAAACAGTATAATAGGGGACCTTTAAAATACCAATGGTTAGTTGTTTTGAACAAATTCCAATACTTGACTTAAGATGTGTATATATTACATGCACTTAAATAACCACGTTAGGTTGGTAATTAGAGAACATGTTGACATGCAGTATAGGGGAGAAGTGTGGTGCAGTGGGTTGTGCGTTGCTGTTCGGATCAAGGAAACACAGGTTCAAACCCCACTGCAGTCAGCATGTCGTTGTGTTCGCACTTCACCCGAAATTGCTCCTCTGTATGTAAGTCGCTTTGGATAAAAGTGTCTAACAAGTGACATGTAATGTAATGTAACCTGGGTACTGTAAAAGTACTGTACATGCAATGCAGTATGTCAGTTATCAGATTTCTATCCCTAATTATGTTGGAATCATTAGTTTGTCTTAAGTCTTGGTTGTAGGATGTGTAAACAAATTGTCAGATTAGTTCTATTCCCTACCACAAACACAGAAACAAGCTTTATCTCACAAAGCTGCTATCGTAGCTGTCAAATCTTAGTCTTGGTATGGTTTTGATTTGGTTTGTTAGTGTTTGAATGTGTCAGAATCACAGTTCCAACAACTGGCTAGTTTTTTATAAATGTTCATAGAGTCGAGAAACATTGATAACATCAGGATAGCAGAAAATCTACACATCTTGAAAGTACACCAGACTGAATATGATTGCACTTGGGCAAAATTAGTTAGAGAGGTTTGGATCATTTGAAGCCGATGCAGAAGCACTTTTAATGGATTGCCTTATTGGAAGCTAATGTACCTGCAGGAGTCTTGCTGTTCCGAAGTTGTTTATGTTTGGTTGATTGCACTTATTGTAAGTTGCTTCGAACAGTGGCAACTGAATGATATGTTATAATAATTACAAATATTGTAAACCACCACAACTTTTAGCCATTTTCAATAAGAAACGGCACAGTTTTAATTAGGTAATTTGTAATTAAAAAGACTATTAGTCATGTTGGTTGGGTCACACAAACGATTATATTGAAATATGAGGCAGTTTCTATTTAGCCATTGAAGACATTGATAAGCAAGTTCAGCCAAGCATCTGAACAACTGGGGTGGAAACAGTTTTCCACACATCTTGAGACCTGAATACCACTGGATAAATGCTTAGTAGGTTGGCGTAGGTTCAACATCAAAAAACATTTGAATCCCTGCTTTACAGTGCCAGAATCAGGTTCTGTTCTATTCATTATGTTAGTGTTAATGGCTGGGCAGGGAAGCTCTACAGCAAGTAATGACCATGATCATTTATTTGGGAATAAGGGAGACGTTTTTCCGCCTGGGGTTGTGGCTGTGAATGTCTGGCTGCACTAAATGGATGAGCAATGAGCACTAAGATGGTTAAAGTTCAACAAAGTTCACTCTAGGCATTAGCTACAGAGGACAGAACAACGGATGGACGCTCTTAATGCGAACAGAATGGAGGCCTCCAATAATATATGCTGAAATATTACATATTCAAACAGAACAGCCTCAGGGAAAGTAATCTATCTGTTTCAAACACACACGCACATTCTCCTTTCCTGCAGAGGTCCCCTCACCGAGGACTAATCTGTCTGGAGGGATCACTTCATTTTTCATCAGAACATTATGCCGGTGCAAATGACGGGGACATCCATTCTGCACTGTCGTTTGTTACAGAGCTAAGGAGAGATGGAGAGGAAGAGACTGATGGAGAGGGACGATGGAAGAGACAGAGATGAGGGAAAGAGAGATAGAGGGGATGGGAAAAAAGAGGAGGTATGTGAGTGGAAGGAGTGGAAGTAATAAGCACTGGGGGAACGACGGGGGCGGGAATGTCACTCTATCTGAATAGACACAATATATGTGTGTATGTGCATGTTTATGTGTGTATTGTGTATGTGTCAATTGAAGGTGACAGTGTAGTTAGTGATGAGATACAGAGGTTGATGGGGTGAATTAAGTGGAATATTAATAAACCTGTCAGCAACTCCACCTCTATGTATCACATTGATTAAGTGCACACTTACATGCATGGACATGTGAAAAGAGTGATGACTAGTCTCAGGTCTCCTATATGTTACCCTAAACTTATTAAAGTGAATGCCAAGCTTGTAAAGGTTAACCCTGACTGCAAACTGGCCCATGCACGTTTGTGCCCTTGTAAGGACAAAGTAAATTAAGTGTAAACACGCACGCAGACACACCGAACACATTCATCTTTGGGCACAGGTTAATCTTCAATACGGCTACATCTAGTTATGCAGGAATAAGTCCCAAAACCTTGAAATTATTTAGTATTTCAAGTCCATGGTTTTTTGCATGAGTTTTTTGGTAGATGCCCTAAACAACCCGTTGGTGAAAGTCCAAAGAAACTATGTGTCTAAAAAACTTTGGATAAAAAGTGAATAAATGAGACTACTAAACATCATCGCGCCAAACATTAGCCGCCTTTAGCCTAGCAGTGGTGAAGTAAAGTCATGCAACCTTAATGTAGTTTGTTTATAGCTTGACATTAGCTTTTTACTTCTGGCAATTGCATTGATGCTTCAACAATAAAAAGTGGTGTTTATGCGTGGAAAGGATCCTGCTGAACAAAACGTGTAGGTATCCTAACCCTTTGTTTGCCACAGTGCTAATTTTCAGCTATAATCCAAGATCAAATGGAACAATCCCATTGCTTTTAGTCCAGGGACCCCTTGGGATCCATACAAAACTAGTCCTATAAAAACATGCAATTCCTGCTCCACTCTATTAGGCGTACATGTACTGTAGCATCTGACAGGCTGTAAGATGTATTGTTGATTACACTCAACAAGAAATAGCTGATAGCTGATGTTTCTGGAAATAGCTGGTCATCGACAAATCTATGAACTGTTCTAGAAAGCTACAGCTGTCATTAAAGTACAGTATCTTATTTTTATCAAGTGTATGTTATGCTCATCAAAGGTTTCACTTCAATTCTCTAGGATTATAAATATTAAATGATCTGTCAGTTTATGGCAATTGCATGGTTCTTAAAAAAAGATTTAAGAACCATGATAATTGGCAAACACTTTGCAAACATAGGTTATCATGGGGTGACAGCTATTAAAAAAAAGGGAATGATAACATACAATTCGTCTTAAAATAAGTTGTCAAAAAGTCAAATAAGTAAGCCATTGTTTGTAGGTCTCCCAAAGAACAGCCATTGTTATAGTTGTTAGTGCAATTCATGCAACAATATATCTTCTCTAGACCAACATTTTCTTAAAGTTAACTGAGGTTTAAGCGAAATATATTTGTGTTGATGTAAAACTTGACAGCATTATAAGCATCTCAAAATAAGCTGTCGTCCTCTGAAATATGTTTCCTTTTCTCATGAATCTATTTCTCTGCTTTTTTAAGTACATTATGGTAAATCTTCTCTTTCTATCTTTATAGATACATTTATGTCAAATGTATTTTACAGATGAGCCCAGGATGAAATGAGTTGTGGAGCTCTCATTTAATTTAGAATTGTAAAGGACTCAAAGTTTCATCATCTTCTGCA